AGCTTAATTCTCTTAAACTTTTTGTGCTAGTAGTCATTTCACATCCAACTGTTTGGTTAAACTTGACTGTGAAGATTTCCAAGATTTTAAGATCTTTATAAGGCACTATTAATAGAAAGCCTTGTATTTTTCCACTTGACTACTTTATAAGCTAGAACTAGATTGTGGAACATACTGTTCTAAGTCAGAGTCCTGTCTAAGTGAACCAAGGAAAGTTCAGTTCGTAAGTATGGAGAATATTTTCTGAGTGACAGTTTCCTACGTTTCATTGTAGGCTTTACTCCTCAGCCTAAAGTATGGTTGCTTTATGTGGCAGCTGGGAGATGGAGATACATGTTTTCAAATCCACAGTCTGGAAAACAAAATGAGCTTTATTGTACATACCAAACAGGTAAGCATTGTCATTTTTCATCCTTTATGTTTAATTATTTTTTCCTAAACTAGATACATGCCTCTTCTCTCTTGAGGTTGACCACCCTTGTACAGTATAAAAGAGGCCCTAGCCAAGCCCCTCCCCCCCCCAAATGATCGTAAAACTTTCTTTTTAATATTTCAGAATGTTTGCTTGTTTTCCTAGTATGTGAAGCCTTTAGGGTTCAAAATACATAAAATGCATCTGTAATCATTAGGGTAAACTTTTTTTTTTTAAATTGGAACTGTTTATTGTGTGTGCCCAATCCCTCAGACTCTAAGGATAATTCCAAATATGATGAAAATCACAGTTAGAGCTGGTAACTTTGCTACCAAAACTAGCGGAGTTTGAGATTGGATAAAACTGAGGATCTGTGAAGGCAGTGTTATAAAGCAACTTCACTGCAATTGCTACCAGCAACTTTTGATAGTGTTTGTGGATGTCTGACGGAAAATACTTGTTTTACCCATAGTCTGCATCAGTGGTAATATACCATGTTAAAATGTGTTGTGACAAAATTACAGCTTTGAGTAAGTGACAGTAGTTGCTTTTAATTCTTATATATTAAGGTGGTTATAGGGGAAGTGATTGAATATTTTGAAAAACACTTTCTGATATCTGAGAAGAATCTATGTTTTATTTTCCTTATTTCTAAAATGATGCAACTTCTAACTTACTATGTTTATCTACTTGCATTTGTCATATACTTAAATTAATTGTGTCATAGTTCTGAAATGCTGATAGAATTTAATTGTATACCTTTATATAGGCAGGTCTCGTCATAAAACTTCTGATGAAATTAAATGGCCAGTTAATGCCGAATGAAAGAAATGAATGATGGAAATGAACAGTAGTTATGAAACAGCATTTTATGGCTAAGCAAAACCCAACTTATTTCTCATCATAACAGAAGACTTCCATGTACATGAATTTTACACAATAGAAAAGTAAATTTGTACAGTTTTTTAACTTTGTACAGAAGCTGCATGGTCTATTTTTTTAAAAAAACTATACAACATATATATTCTTTTTATAAATGTTTTTGTGTTTCATATATAAGCTATTGTAGGGCTTGAGCTTAACCAATAAAGCTAAAGAAATGTAAATGGTTTACTGAGTTGGATGAGCATGAATCAAGTAAGGCTTTTGTTCCCAGAGGATTATGGGACTACCAGTGCCATTAAGCAAGTCTCAGTTAACCTATTTACCTTTCGTGTCATTCTGTGGAACATCAAGGAGGTTGTATATGTTACAGTATTTTGTAGACACGCTTTATTTTTAAGATACTGTTGATAAGTATGCTTAAAAGGCCAGTTAGACCTTTGAGCAACCACTTTTGATAAACTCCTGTTTTTTATTTGGTTTCTGACAAACATTACAGCTGGCTTTATTTTTACTCTTAACTTTCTCATACTTTGTATTCATATTTATTCTAAAATATTGCATGAGGATGTCAAAAGGGAAATACTTTAAATCATTCAGAAGCCATATTAAGTATTTAGCGTGCTTGTTTAAAAAAAAATGGATTTGTACTTTTGCTGTGCAATATAACGTGTATATGGGGGAGGGGGAGATACAGATTTACAAATGAATCTTACTCAGAGGACTTCAAAAAGTTTAATAAATCTTACCCTGGATTGCAACACATCTGCAGTAACAAAAACTCATGTAGGTGGTACTAAGTTATTTCTGTTAAACTAATTTTTCTACTCATTACTTCAGTTTCTTGAGGCTACAAGCAGTGCAGGATGCAGGAATGAAGATTTATAATGCAAGAAACTAATGTAAGCGTTATGTGTGCTCTTTGCAGGGTCAGGATTGGGTCTCAGCAAGTTGGGTCCCAAGTGTAAGGTGGGACCCTATGCAGTCTGAAACATATCCTTGTACGTTAAAATAGTATCCATAACACAAATCTTTAAAATTTCTGGTTGTATTTCAGGGTTTTAAGTGCACTTGCCTATTTCTTCCGTGTAAACTGCATGCTAAAACGGTGTGCAATATTTTGTAAAAAAGCTTTAAAAAAAATAAATTAGCACTTGCCTCTCAGTTTTCAAATAAAAGTTAAAATGAATGTTAGGAACTGCGCTGTTGTGTAGTAACTTTACTTAGACCTTACTACTAGTAAGTGCAGTTTAAGAAATTAAAGTAGTAAGCAGTTAAAAAAAGTGAACAGGAGACATATTTTGTAATCATCTCAGTAAGCTGTACTTTTCTACTTAAACTTCACTGGCATAAGTAACAGTAACTCTTCATGGATTGTTATATTTTATTTAAGGTAAGCAGTGCAACAGTCAGGTCCTTCATAGTGCATCCTTGCTATCACTTGGCACTGGTATCAGAAATACACTTCTCTACATAGCACTTTGTTAGAAAACTAGAGGAAAAATGTCAAAATGTGTGTCAGTTGCAGATTTAACAATAGTATTAATATGCCTTATTGCTGTATAGTTCTTTCTGCTAAATTCTTATTTATTACTACCTAATAAATTGTTTGCAACAAGTCACGTTTGTTGTTATTATTGCAGCCAGCATGGAAGTGCCATCAAATGTCTTACCAAGCAGGTGTCATTTCCAAAGGCCAGTATTCTCTAACAGGCTCATCTTCACAAGGCATGAAGGAAGATCATCAGAGAGGATCATAAGGAGGGTCCCATGGTGACTACAAATTAAGGTAGTGCACCTTGGAAACCACACAGGAACTCAACAGGAAAACTGGAACCTGTTTGTCATGGCAAACCAGAAGTTTACAGATGTTGCGTGTCAGTGGGGTCGTTAAGTAGTGAAAGCCTGGCTACGCAGCCCTAGCAGGATTCTGGCACCTGGGTATGTAGGAGTTTCCACCGTGTTGCTGTGACAAGGAAGGCGAGTACAGTCTTTCATCTAAAAGCGGGGAAATGTAAAACCAGAACAGAGAGAAGTCCAACACTGTAGAGACTGACCACTAGTAACAGTCCTCCTGTCTACCAAACAAAAAAAAACAGAAAACGAGCTGCCTTTGTAAGCGAGACTCAGCTCAACTCCTACAGCTTATCTAACAAGCACTTTTTAAAAAAGTGAGTAACTGTATAGCCGATGAGGCAAAGATTTGAGAGTAGAATACTCCAGCCAGGCACAGTAAGGCAAAAGAATAACTGAAAACTTAAAACTGTGAAAAACAGGCACAACTTTATCAAGCAGAACAATTAATCGCTGGGCTAGCGTGCTGACCTGAGGATTGTTCACCTCTAAGCGCAGGCCTCACTACGCACAGGGAGCGGACCCGTCTAGGATTGGGTGCCTTTTGCCATGGGGAAGCGAACCTGCGTGGTTCGAGATTGACCGACAGGCCCAATCGCGGCAAAACTCAAATCACCCACAAATCGGTCTCCGGCCTTAAATTTACAGGCTATCACGGCTCTAGCTCCAGCTTCACGCCCTGAGGCCGCGCCCACGGCCGGGCGGCGTGCCAGCCTCCTTCACCCCCCCCGGTCGGGAGGTGTTTGAGTTCAGGGGCTGGTTCTGCCTGCGGCACGGGGAAGGCAGCGGCTTGTCCGAGAGGAAGGCCTTGGTCCTGAGGGAAACCCCTCATGCAGCCCAGATGTCCTCCTGCTGCTGCTTTGGTGACAGGGAAAAGTTACCCTAGAAAGGTAGGGGTTTCCATACCGTTGTTAGCTCACAGCTAGATATGCGTCAGAAAAGAGGCTGTTCCTGAAAAAATGCAGGTACAGGCTCAACAGAAACAATGTATGTGGTTTGCAAAGGTTCAGCTTGACCCTTAAAGCTTTTTTATTTCTATGCGGTTAAGGATATTATAATAATTTTGTACAACTTTACCCCATCAGCAGGAAGACTTGTATTAAAGAAAGTAGGAAAAAATGTAGATCTATTTGAGGGACTCGTGTTTGAAGACTTACAACATAAGATGATATAAATCTCCCTATAAGGCGGGAGGAAAAGACCAACTAATACCTTTGGTTTGTCAACAGGCAGTCAAGTGAAGTTGGGAAAATACTGTTTATGATGGTGCATCACTAGTGCAAGAGAACAAAAGTTTAACATAGTAAAGTTTAAAGCAGGAAGAACATGCAAACAGAGCTCTAGAAAACTCTGAAATGTCCACTAAGCTGAGCATTGTCAGTTGTCCAAGACAGCTTGGGCTATTCTATGAAATGTCAAGCAACAAATCACATATTTGTGATGTATGTTTTGTGATCTGTAGTCTATTGTCTGGAAAAACAAGGTATTAAATTAGCAAGCACTGCAGCAAAGTAATCCCTTTTTGGGGGTAAACAGAGAAGTGGGAAAGTTCACAAATGTGGAAGACTAGATTTTTATCAAGATCTTTTACAATTGCTAGCTTGGTCTACTAATGTTAAAACATATTATTCCATATAGATTTCACACTTACAGTTTGATTTCTTAAAAAATACTGATAAGAATCAATTAACAACCCAGAAAAAGGAACAATGTCTCTGGAGAAGGAAGAAGATGAAATTCAAGTGGTCTAAATACAAAAGGACTAAACAAAAGCTTTCATGAGGTTCCAGTTAATGATGCCAGGAAAAACTAATTACATTCATCAGAGAATCCTAAAGTAGCTGACCTAACGATGAAAAGTTTGAGTGATATTTCACATGAAGTTCCTAAAGCAGCTGGCAATGAGGAAAGCCATAAAATGACAGAAAATAGATGGTGATTTACCTGAAAAAAGGTAGGAATGTGAATTCTCAGCTGAGATAAATGCTGCCACAATGCCTTAAGGTGTCTCTGAAACAGGTGTGAGAAAACACACGCTACTGACATCAACTGAAAAGGATACTGGAGAACTAAGCCAAATCCTTTCAGAAGCTCTCAGTGGAGATGCCAGACCAGACGTAGTACTATCAGCAATGAATCCTGAAGGGGATGAAAATGGATCAACATATATGTTGCCTGAAGAAAAAGATGAGAATTTCACACTTAGACCAAATGATAAAGCACTAGGGAACATGCCTCTGCTTGCTTTTGAAACCCCAAATTTAAAATATTTGCTCTTACACAACAATGAAATAAAAACATTGCATTCAAATACAGATAATCTAATCTGGAAATCCTGACACTGACACTGTTGCCACCAGCAATACCCTTACTTCATAAACTGACAGTACTGAATGTCTGTCACAACCAGTTATCATGTCTCCCTAAAGAATTGTCAAAGCTGGTAAATATTAAGGAACTCTTTCTCAATCACAACAATATTGATGAATTTCCTTTTGCATTGAAAAAACTTGAAGCTTTAGAGCTTTCAGAGAACAAGCTAAAAACTTTGCCAGATACCATAGCTGACATGAAAAATTCGAAGGTACTCAACATTGATTCCAATCAAATCTCAATATTCCCAAGGTTCTCTGCTACCTTCCTAATCTAGTAATCTCTGCTATTTTCCTGATCTCAGCATGTGTGAGAACTTGATTCAGAGTTTACCAAAGGATATTAAAGTGATCAAGAAACAACAAGAATTTTCAATTGTAACAGTAAGCTTATATTTTTGCCTGTGCAGCTTTTCTGGTTGACGAAAAGAACTCAGAGTTCATGATAACAAATTGGAATTTGTTTCAGATGAAGTGGAAAATTTATGAGAACTTAGGTTTCTGAACCTTGCAAAAAATTATTCAAGAGTATTACAGATAATTTTTGCAACTGTACCATGTTGAAACATCTCATTATACGTAATAATTAACCCAGCTTCCTGCTAATATTCACAGCCTTAAACATTTAAAGGAGTTTTCTTTAAGTAGAAACTGACTGGACTCATTGGATGAACAAATACCACGTTTAAAAGACCTCTCCAAAATAGAGTTTTCTGGAAACACATTAACATACATTCCTGTTGAATTAAAAAATTGTATATGGATAACCACTGCTGACTTCAGCAATAACAAGCTCTCAGTTTCCAAATACACTGTGTGCACTATTTGATCTTAAACCCTTAAATCTTAGTGGCAACTCTATTTTAGAAATAATACCTGGAATTTCTGACATTAAAGATTTGGAGCATCTAGAGTTAAACACAAACAAACGGTCCTCATTTTCTGCATGCTTGTGTAGCCTTACAAAACTAGTTTGTGTGGATGTAAGTGAGAATGAAATCAATAGCATGCCAGCAGTGGTGTCCGAGATGAAGGCTCTCCAGGTACTGCTGTTCCACCATAATGAGTTTGACTCATTTCCTGAAGAACTGTGTTCTTTAAAGTGTTTAAAAACTTGCAGATTAGCAATCTGGAAGTGATCAAAGACCTAAATGTATCAAACAACTGGTTTGCATCTTTTCCTTCTGAAATATGTCATCTTTCTTCACTGGAGACGTTGACAGTGTGTCGAATGAATGGGTTGAAGGTCAGAGAACATTTCCTTTAGGTAGGAAAAACTTGTGTTGCACAGGTTGTTGTGCTGCAAAACTATTATTAACAGACTTCCTCCTAACAGATGTAAAAGCTCCTGTGTTTGAATACACCTAAGGTAAACAAAGAGCAGAGAAATAGTTTCTAGAGAGGCAAATACGTGTACATATTTACCTATTTTTAGTATCAGAACTGGACAAAAATCTACTAGGATGCACTTTTAATTAGAAATACTAGACGTGAACCTCACTTTAGTGTTATTGAGGTATATCTTGAGGTGATATTTTGATAATCTGATTGATCTGAAACACATCATCTGTTTTTTATTTTTCTAGTACTATTAGGAAGGTAGGTATTTTCCATCCCGATGGATATCAAGAGACAAAACGGCTAGCTGGAATTTGGTAGATAAACCTGCCTCCAAGATTCCTCTCTGTGAAATGAACAAATCCTTCCAACTCATGTCATACTTCTTAAAATTAGTTGGTCATTAAACTTTCACTGATTCAAACAAGAAAAGCTATATTGGATCCCTGATTTCTTAAAGCAGAGAAAATTGCTTCACATTTCTAAAATCCAAAGTTTAGTTTCGGGGTTTTTTTTTATGCTAAGGAACGGGGCAAAACAATCTCCTGATGAGTTAGGCATTTAAATATCTCTTTTCACCAGAATTTGCAAAATCAGTATTTCATACCTGATTTCAGAAAAGGCTCATATTTCTTGATACGATTTCGAATGTGGTTATGAGGTTACGATCCTTTCCAAGGGCTGGCTTTCTTCAGACCCAGGAGCAAAAAGTATGTGATCTTACGTCCGTTTCCCAGAGAGCTGTAGCTTTAGTTTCCACAGTAATTGGAGAACACTTGAAGTTCCAAGAAGGAAAGTAAAAATTACAAAAGACCAAAGTAAGAACAGAATGAAAAAGAAGAAAATAGGTGTTTCATTTTCTTGTGCCTGAGGAAGACAGAAAATAAAATTAGATGTTCTGAGAGGATAAAATTTTTCATTCATTGTAACAATGACCAGAAGAACTTCCAAAGCTGCAGCTGTGGAGGTATTATTCTACTGCATGGTTTTTAGTGCCTTTCTATTATCATGTCTAAAAAGCTTCCCTGCAAATTTCTGTGCTCAGCACCCATATTTTTATTGGAAAATAGCAAGTTAGCTTCCACTAGAATCAAAGGTCAGAAACTTTTATTGTTGGAAGTAAATTATGGGATAATTTTTTGCCTGCAGGAAAGTTACCTTTTAAACTTTTTGCAGAAGAGAAGGAGTTGTATCTAAACAAATGGTTTTATTTCTTTATCAGTTAACTAAAATTCCAGAGGAGCTATCTAAACTGGTTTGCCTCAGGGAACTGGACATCTCTCACAATGCATTAAAGGAGATTCCAGCCAGCATAGGGGAACTGGAGTATGTGGTCCATTTAATTGCAAATAATAATCATATCGGCCAGCTCCCCGAATCTATTACATCACTAAGAAATCTACAGCGACTTGACCTGAGCAGTGAGTATCAGGCATTCAATCCATTAGTAAAATGTAAGCATTGAATATGCCCCCAAAGAGTATAAATACATCGCAAGATGAGAGGGTGATGAAGTAAACAACCAAGAAGGCGACAGCTTTCCAGTTTTTAATGTATACTGCTGTGATCTGCCATGGCTTCTAACCAAGCATCCACTCTTAAATTTAATATTTTTAATACAGCTGTTGTAGGGGCCCCATCTGTGAAATCTTTTTAAGTGGCATGATTTTGGCAAGTGTGCTCATTGGGCAAATAAAGGCCTGACACGCACAAAGCATCGATCACTACAGCATGTGCCGGGCAGGGTCCTGCTGTTGACAAGACCCACCTTTTCCCGCTGCACAGAACACGTGTCATAGAATCATAGAATCATAGAATCATTGAGGTTGGAAAAGACCTCTAAGATCATCGAGTCCAACTGTCAACCCACCACCACCATGCCCACTAAACCATGTCCCTAAGCGCCTCATCTACACGTCTTTTAAATACCTCCAGGGATGGGGACTCCACCCCTTCCCTGGGCAGCCTGTTCCAATGTTTCACCACTCTTTCAGTAAAGAAATTTTTCCTTACATCCAATCTAAACCTCCCCTGCCGCAACTTGAGGCCATTTCCTCTCGTCCTATCACTTGTTACTTCGGAGAAAAGACCAACACCCACCTCGCTACAACCTCCTTTCAGGGAGTTGTAGAGAGCGATGAGGTCTCCCCTCAGCCTCCTTTTCTCCAGGCTAAACAACCCCAGTTCCCTCAGCCGCTCCTCATAAGACTTGTTCTCCAGACCCCTCACCAGCCTCGTTGCCCTTCTCTGGACACGCTCCAGCACCTCAACGTCCTTGTAGTGAGGGGCCCAAAACTGAACACAGTATTCGAGGTGCGGCCTCACCAGTGCCGAGTACAGGGGCACGATCACTTCCCTCCTCCTGCTGGCCACACTATTTCTGATACAGGCCAGGATGCCATTGGCCTTCTTGGCCGCCTGGGCACACTGCCGGCTCATGTTCAGCCGGCTGTCGACCAACACCCCCAGGTCCTTCTCTGCTGGGCAGCTTTCCAGCCACTCTTCCCCAAGCCTGTAGCGCTGCATGGGGTTGTTGTGACCCAAGTGCAGGACCCGGCACTTGGCCTTGTTGAATCTCATACAGTTGGCCTGGGCCCATCGATCCAGCCTGTCCAGGTCCCTCTGCAGAGCCTTCCTACCCTCGAGCAGATCAACACTCCCGCCCAGCTTGGTGTCGTCTGCAAACTTACTGAGGGTGCACTCGATCCCCTCATCCAGATCATTGATAAAGATATTAAACAAGACCGGCCCCACTACTGAGCCCTGGGGAACACCGCTCGTGACCGGCCGCCAACTGGATGTAACTCCATTCACCACAACTCTCTGGGCCCGCCCGTCCAGCCAGTTTTTGACCCAGCGCAGAGTCCACCTGTCTAAGCCGTGAGCCGCCAGCTTCTCTAGGAGAATGCTGTGGGAGACAGTGTCAAAGGCCTTGCTGAAGTCCAGGTAGACCACATCCACAGCCTTTCCCTCATCCACTAGGCGGGTCACCTGGTCATAGAAGGAGATCAGGTTGGTCAAGCAGGTTGGTCCGTGTGCTCCGCTGTCCGAGTAACATCGCTGGTATAATACAGCCTGTTGGCCAGGGGAGTTACCCAGTGTGGATTACCACGGGTGGGTTGTCCTGCCTGGATTCTCTGGTGTGGGTTATCCTGGGTGGGTTAGCTCACATGGGTTATCCTGGGTGGGTCATTCTGGCGTAGGTTCTTCCAGGTGGGTTACCCTGTGTGGGTCATCCTGGTGTAGGTTATCCTGGGTGGGTCGATACTGAGTATAAAGGAATACTGAAGAGACATATGGTTCTCTTTCTTGGAGTAATGTAGCCAAGTTTGACATACTCTGTAGATAAGCTAGACCTTCAGTAGAAGTACCCTGTGAATAGATGAGCTAAACATTCAGTAGGCAAAAGAAGACCTTGAAACTTTGTATCTTGGCGTAGAATAGATAAGGAAGCTATGCTGAAATAAGCTAGTTTGTGTAAGCAAAATGCGCAACTGAGCCAAAGAACAAACTGTGCATCCGCGAAGACACGGTGAGGAAGACTATTGACGACCACCAGAGGACCCTGAAAGACCACCAATGGGCATAAGAGTGCATGCGTCAAAGACTTTTACATATGTTAATGAGTTCCAGGAAATAACCTGAATGTGTTAATCATTTCTCAGAAATCTAATGAATATGTATATTCTAACTGTACATAACTTCTGTAGTTGAGCAACTCGGTGTGCACACTAGGTGGAGCGATCGCCTGTGCGCCCAGCGCCGCAATAAAGAATGCCTGCTTTCTAAAACTCCAAATTGAGTCTTAGAGAGTTTTTAATTTGCCGACTTACAGTAACAGGGTTATCCATTGTGCATTATCCAGGGTGGGTTGTCCGGTGTGGGTGAGTTACCCACTGTGAGTCATCCCAGGTGGATTACCTGGTGTGGGTTATCCAGTGTGGGTTATCCCAGATGAGTTACGCAGCATGGATTACCTGGTGTGGATTATCCCAGGTGGGCTATCTGGTGTGGATTATCCTGGGTGGATTACCTGCTGTGGGTTATCCCAGGCAGGCCCCCTGGTGCAGGTCATCCCCACACACGATCCTCCCATGCATGTCCCCCCATGTGTTTCTCCACGTGTGTTTCATACCCACGCACCCTGACGCAAGTTTACACCACATGAGTTTCTCCCCGGGAGTGCTTACCCCACGCAAGTTCATAGCCACATGTGTTTCTGCCACGGGAGTTCATACCCAGCTGCGTTTACCCCCATGTGAGGTCATACCCATGTGTGTTTAGTCCACGTAAGTACATTCCCACACTTTTGTTTGTCCACAGGAGTTTATCGCATGTGAGTTTTATTCCCATGCGTGTTTTGTCCACACACGTTTCCACCCCACGCGTGTTTATCCCCCAGTGTGCTGCTACCAGTCCTGGTTTCGGCAGGGATAGAGTTAATTTTCTTCCTAGTAGCTGGTACAGCGCTGTGTTTTGGATTTAGGATGAGAACAAAGCTGGTAACACACCGATGCTTTAGTTGTTGCTAGGTAATGCTTACACTAGTCAAGGCCTTTTCAGCTTCCCATGTTCTACCGACTGAGAAGGCTGGAGGTGCACAAGAAGCTGGGAGGGGGCACAGCCAAACTGGCCAAAGGGACATTCCATACCATGTGGTGTCATGCTCAGTACATAAACTGGGGAAAGCTGGCCGGGGGGGCCGCTGCTCGGGGACTGGCTGGGCATCAGTCGG